TAGACAGCAACTACCACAATGCTCTGCCTTTTATGCCACAAAGTCTGTCTTATATGTCACTTTGTTTTGTTTGATTTCTCTTAAAACAGTTTTTTATCCTGTCTTTTTAAATATACATAAGAGTAGAGTATATTTTGACATATTATACATACATGGATTTTTTTCTTAGAAGGAAAATAGTCTAGTTTCTTCTTGTTTTGGTTTTTAATGGCTGACTCTTTTCTGTAAATCACTGAATGAGGAAATTTTTTTACAGTGTGAAATAAACACCGGTTCATTATTCCGCATATAGAGAGGTACTGGTATAAGAGATCTTTGAAGAACAAAATTGGGAATGTGGATGAAATAACACTCATGTACTCCGTGATATTAGCTAACCTACAACTGAGCTATTTGCAAATTTCCATTACTGATTACAAATGGAAAAATTGTTTATCAAGCTTTTCTGAAGCCACTTTTAGATGAGTAAATTGTGGTAGATACTGGGTGGGTGCTTGACACCTTATCTTTGGGCAATAATGAGATAAAAATGGGAATGAGATAATAGTGGATGGTAGCAGCAGGAAAATAAGGATATTTGATGCAAGAGCTGTAGTACTTATCCATGTGTCCATGTGTCCCCAACACAGAACTAAAGTTATATGTCTGTTCACTTTTAAAGGATTTGCTTCTCATGAGCCTCTAGATAGCAGCTTTCCTATTTGATTCAGTGTATGGTGCTGTGCCTAATAAATGTGTATGGAGTGAGTGAAAGGACACATTTTGTATTAGAGGTGTTTTATAGTAAAATTGTTGAAAATAAATCACTCTCAGGTCTAAAAGAGTAGGGCTTAGTTGTTAGAAAATTTACATATGTGCAGTACTTCATGAATTTTTAAATATGACTTGTTATTAAATTTCATTTATTTAACTAGATTTTTCTTATATATAGTATAAAAACCAAGTGCATAACTAAACTGAAATTTGTTTTCGACATTTCAAGAGTGTCCCTGGCTTTATGCCTGGGGGTACCCGGTGGCCCCATATTTCTGAATGTGAGCACAACTTCTCACCAGCCTCTTTTCTTAAAGTTTTTACAGCCTTCTGGGTTCTATACTCTTCTTAGAAGCCTAAGTCTTATAGCTTTTCCTGGTTCCTTTGCCGTTAGGCCATGCCATTCCCTACTCTTCCTGAGGGAGCAGGGCTCCCTATCAACGTGACTCTAGGACTCCCTCAAAAGTGCATTGCAGCCAGACCCAAATTCTGAGTGTCTCTGTGTTCATGAAAAATGGGTAGAATGAATACTCAGGGGAGCGTCGGGGCCAACTCCCTTTGCCAAACAATAGCACTGCAGCCTCAGTCTCTGTTTCACCTCCTTGGCCATCTGAAATATGGCTTTCCTGAGGGTCCAATGTCTCCTTCAGGATTGTGGGGTGAGTTCATAGTCTTTCTTTTCTCCAGTGGCAATTTCAGATCTCATTTGCCTTTTCTTTTGCTTTCTTTCTCTTCCTCTTCTTCTTTTTCATGGCCTTGTTCTCTCCTAGTCTTTTCCACCAATCTAAATTACTCATCAGCCCATTGTTCCTCACCCCTATCCTTAGGCATCTTCCTGACACTTTTCATTATGTAGATCTCTGACCACAACCTCCGTCCTCTAGATCTTTCACCCAGTCACTTCTATGCTACCTTTTCTTTTTTTATTTTGAATAACATCTTGATTGGGAATACAGTAAACGGAATTTTAAATGCACATTTTGAGAAGTTTTGATACACACACACAAAAATAATATGTATGTATCTGTGAAAATAATACTACTATCAGGTAATGAAGAGAGATCTTGCCGTCAAAAGTTTCCTCATCCCCATTGGAAAAAAAGTTTCCTCATCACCCTTCCCTACCTCATCACTCAGTCCCGAGTTAACCACTGATCTGCTTTTTGTTGCTATAGACTAACTTGCGTTTTCTAGAGTCTTATATACATAGAATCATACTGCATATACTCGTTTTCATCTTTCACTTGAGATTCACCTATGTTGTTACATATATTAATAGTTTATTCTTATTTCTTAATAGTACAGTATTACATTATATAATTTGTTTATCTGTCCACTTGTTGATAGACATTTGTGTTGTTTCTAGTATTTGGCAGTTAGAAATATTAAGCTACTGTAAATATTTGTATACAAGTCTTTGTATAAATATACACTTTCCTACCTCTTGGGAATGGAATGGCTGAATCATATAAAGGCATATGTTTAACTGCCATACTGTTTTCCACAGTGTTTGTGCCATTTTATATTACCATCCTCACTGTGACAGTTCCAGTTAAAAATACTTGGTATAGTCAATTTAAAAAAGATTAGTAGTAATATCTCCTTGACTAAAGAACTTGATCATCTTTTCATGGGTTTGCCATCTGTATGTTTTTGGTGGACCTGTATGTTCAAATATACTGTCCATTTAAACATTTTTTCCTTAATATTAAATTTTGAGAGTTCTTTACATATTCTTTGTTTTTTTATTAGATATGTCTTGGAAATATTTTCTCCCTATCTTGTTATTTTAGTCCCTTAAATAGTGCCTTTTAAGGAGTAAAGCTTTTAAAAATTTTGAAGAAATTCAATTTTTTTCTTCTATAGATTATGCTTTTGGTATTGTGTCTAGACAATTTTTACTCAACCTGAAGTCACAAAGATCCCCTGTGGTTTTCTTCTTGTAGTTCTGTTATTATGTTTCATATTGATCCATTTTGAGCTAATTTTGGTTAATTTAAAATTCCTGCTTCCTTATGCCTACTTAGTATGTGCATCATGTACTCCTAGGAAGTTCTGTGTTCTTGATCCACTAGCTACTTCCAACTGTCTTTGTGCACCAGCATCCCAAAGGGAGTTTTTCCATGTTCTTAAGCCTTGTCTGGTGGTATGCTTCTTTGTTGTTTAGCTTGAGGCATGATATATAAAGGGAATTTTTAAACAATTAAAACTAAAATAAGAAAGGATTTTTGTACCTTTACGAACTTTTCACCTTACAATATCTTTAAAAAATTGTCAGTTGGTCAAAAAGACATTGGTAGGTCTCACAATTGAAAATAAGAAGCAAGTAGAGTTTGAAATTTTTTTTATTTATTTTAATTAGTTACACATGACAGTACAATGATCTTGACATATCATACATTTAAATCAGATGGGGTATAATTTCTCAGTTTTCTGAGTGTATAGATTGCAGAATCACATTGTTCATGTAGTCACGTATATACATATAGCAATAATAAAGTCTATTTTAATTTTGATGATTTTTTTTATTAAATTCAGGAAAGTAAAGTCATAATAGTACATTCTTTATTATAAATGATATATTTAAACTAATGCTGTGAATTTAAATACACTTGAATTTAAATACCTTAATATTTTGGAAATATTAACCATTAGAATTCATAAAAGCCATGTATATGGGGGATACATGTTTTTCCTCTTACCTCAGACTTCCAGTTAAAGGATATTTTTGTTTAAGATACAAATAAGAATTAGCCACACTAGACCCAAATAAGAGGGGGATAAAAGGGGAAAGGACCCATGAAAATATAAGGGAGATCAGTGGGGTGAAAGAAGGTAATAATAGGAAGGGAGGAAAGATGGGAAAAGGGAGGAATAGTAGAATGAAATCAACCAAATTATGCTATGTATATATATGAATATACCACAGTGAATTTCACCTTTATGTCTATCTATAAAACCAATTTGAAAAAGAGCTATAAATAAATAGAAGGAAAACCAGTACTAGAGGAAATGAAAGAGGGCAAGGGAGGGTAGGACTTATATATAATTATAATTCACTAATTAAAATATAATAATATAAAGTTAGCCAATAGAAGTTCAAAATTCATGCAATCAATCCCATTAATTAAATTTTATTTATTCATTTATGTATTCTTTCAGTTATTCACATGAGTCAATAAAGTGGCAACTAGTAGGGCTAGGGAGACACATAAAATAGATGAGGGCCCCAGTATTAGATGTTATAGTGACAGTATAGCAATTATTAAAGGTTCCTTCAGATTGCCTGTGGTTTTGTCCTGACTACTGAATTCCATTTAGTGATCAGACATATCTATGTATCCAATATCCACAGAAATTTGGCTTGTATTAGTCCTTAAGACATTGACTCTATTTCATGGTGGTTCATCTTTTTGATATACATTAAATAAAATAAATATGAATGGATATCTGATTTTAAAATATTGCACAAAACTATTCAATAGGGAGATCTAAGTAATTTTTTAATATATGCAAATTGATCAAATGAAATGTTCTCCTGCCTGAGACTTCCGTTATATTTCTATTTTGAAAATACCCTTCTTTTTTGATTCTATTTTAGAGGCATTTAGATGGGGTTTCCATACCATGTCCATCCTGGGGGCATGAGTGCATTTATAGAATACGTTTCCATTGAGAGACTTTTCTCGGAATGCTGGACTGCAGCGTGAAAGTTTTAGCTGTTGACTGGTGTAGTTCTGAGTAAATCTTAATTCCACCTCCTTGCCAGTGACCTAAGTGCTCTGCTAGAGGATTTATTGAGGGACTGAACCTCATAAATGTGGTCTTCATTGCCAGGAGAGAGACATAGCATCCTGCATATTTGTAAAGTATTCTTGTAAAAGTGTTTTGTGAGCAGTAGTTTGACATTATTTTTACCTCTAAAATTAAAAAAAAAATCAGTTTATGTATGACAAAGATATTTGTACATATTATACTATGGGTATTTGGGTTACCTCAATATCAATCATTTTGACTATTTTTAAAGAATTTTGAAGAGGAACGTACTTAATAGTACTTTTACCTCAACAACTTTTTCCTTTTGTGACATTGCTTTGCTTCTCAAGGGTGTCCTTCTTCCTTTTACTTTTAGGAAAATATACCCTTTTATCACAAAGTACTTTTATTTCTAAAACTTATTTAAAAAAAATAGATCTTAAACATTTATTTATATACTCTATTTCTAATTCATTGTTTTAAACTTTCAGGCTCAACTTTAAAGAAGCTTCTACACACCGGAAATTCTATTAAGGTATTTATTTTAGATGAAAATATAATGGCATTTTTTATTACTCTTAAGTTTATTAATGCCACAAAGTAACAAAGGCCATTTTGAAAATGAAAGATCTTTATAAACCACTTTCTTAGTTTTTATTTTTAATTGAGAAAGTATATGACAAATATTGTTTAGAAAGGTTTTTGTTCTTAACCTTGTCACTTATATTGTGAAGGACATTTTAAGTAGAACTATTGTGGGAGGAAAAAACAGCAGAGAGCCTCACTCTTGAATATTTTTTCATCTATTTGCAGTTGGTGATCTTGTAATTTAAGTTAAAGTTGGATTATCTTAAAATAAAAATGTATTATTTATAATGACATAGACTATTTGATGCTGGGATAAGATGACCCCAAAACATGAGTGGCAGAAGGCAGTGAGACTGGTGAATTTTTCACTTGTAGATATGTTCATGTCTTTAATAAGGTACTACATTTTTGTTTGTATACCAGTTTAAACAACCACAGACACTTAAAACTTATATTAACTTTCCTCTTATATGTTGAAAAACAGAAACAATCTCTTCTTAACCTCACTGTGATTTCCATATTTGTTCCCACCCCCACATTTTTAAGGAAATATAGTTAACTATAATTAAATATAGTTAACTATAGTTAACATGAAAAATTGGAGACTTATAGAATTTCACAGAAACTTTCCTCATGTTAAATATTATTTGATTAGGTGTGTGTAGAGCTGCATCATTTTTGCTTGATGGCTGAATAATATGTATTCAACATTACCCCTCATTTTACCTGCTAGAGGAAAGGAGGAATAGTATGGAAAGACATGGAGGTTTGAGCAGAGCAGTGGTGGAGTCCAGGGGTATGTTTGGAAGTATGCTGTAAATCCCCTCAGTTAATGTGGTAGTACTGTTGCCAGCTAGGGTATCTGTCTTGGTGTATTTTGACTTCTCTTGGAAATTGGTGAATCTTTCTCTCTTCTCTCTCCTCTCTCCTCTCTCCTCTCTCCTCTCTCCTCTCTCCTCTC